TGCTCCGGTGAAGAAGCGAGAAATTCAACAAAAGTTGCACGACGATGACGAGAATCATATCTCGTCCAGCAGTGAGGACGAGGAATATGAGATCGCAAATAAGCAGGTGAAGCAGATTTCTGTTTACTTATGAGATATGCTTAATAATCAAATGGTTAACCTCACTCAGCAAACACGCGGTCGTGTTCTGCTGTCGATCTATTTTGTTATTTCATTATTTATAGCATTTTCGAGTAATGGGTTTTAATCCGATTTGGGTTAGTTTAATGATACCGCAAACTTTACTATTAGTAGAACATGTTAAATCCAATCTACAATTATGTAAGTGTAGTTGACAAGTGATAATCGTAAGAATTAACTGATCACAGTCGAATATTTTCCTCATATGTGATTATAATTGTTAATTCTCACAACTACAACCACTTACAACTACGCTTACGTAATTGTAGAATGGATTTAACATCAATCAATAGCAAAGCATTAATCTAATCTAGGTTGGTTTGAAGGGTTTGTCCAGTGGGACATCAAGCAGGTGCTAGGCTAGTTTCAGAATCATCATCTGGATGCACCCAGATATTGTTTTAGCCTTGTTTAACATTTTTGAACAATAAGGATATAACATCTAGGTGCATCTGGACAATGATTCTAGCCTCATCTACAATAGTCACATAGGCTGTGTTGCATGTCATATGAGATTTAGTGTGTTTAGTGGATTCATCAATTGAATGAATAGCTTTCTGCTATTCTTCTAGATCTAAAAGTCTGATTGAATAATCTAGAAGAACACATCAATAACAGCGAACACTTACTTAATTGTTGAATTCACTGAACACAACCAATCTCACAGGAATACTGTTTCTAGTATTCATAAGAGCTCTTGTTGTAGAAAGTTGAAGTTGGCTGAATTCTGTACAAGAGCCCTTGCGACTGCGACAATCACAGGACTAAAAACAATATTCCTGTCCATGATATTGGTTGTCGATGCGACTATTGTAAATGGCTTTCTGAATGCAATCCTGCAGTCAAAAATTAGTTTGTTCCAGTTTATCTAAATATAAGATTAACAAAGACATAATACATTATGACATACATGCGAAAATCATTGTTGAGGTAACTTCATGCAGGTGAAAGCTTCATCTATATGCTATTCCAATATAAATGATTGCTGCCTAATAGAGAATGAAATATCATCAACTCTATAATTTTTAATATTTAGTGTATAGATCCTAAATTTCAGAAAAACTGAGAAAAATATTTTTACAAAGATGAAATGTGATGTAAAAGTTTTAAATTCTATATTTATTTTTAAAAATATTTATCTATATTTAGGGTTGCCACATCAAAATTTTCAAAACTTGAATTTATAGGTCAAAAATCTCGGACATTTTGCTTGAACTTCCAGAAACACATATTAAAATGCATACAGGTTAATAAAATTGATCAGAACAGTAAACACTTATTTCACATCTGATTGTTCATTAGTGTTACTAATTGAATGTAAAAGATTGACCAATCATATATTGCAATCATATATAATTGATTATTCTCCTCACATTCAACTGTAATTAGTTAGTTATAGCTAAAAAATTACTGCAACTACTTATTGTAAATCAATAATAATACAGAATAATGCACGAGAAAAGACAAATAGTCTTGTTGTTAAGGTCCCCAAATATTTTTGTATTTAAAATGAAATAGACATATATGTATACGTTGAAAAGAGAGAAAGCAAAGATGTTGAGTGCAAAAAATGTGTGCAACGCGAATAGACCTAAAAAATTAAAAGATTCCCTAAAACTACAGACTCATAATTACCTCAGATGTCTCCAGATATCCTAAAAAAAGAGAACAGTAGAGAAAAAGCGTATGGATGGCAATTCTATCTATATTATATATTTTCTTGTCTATATTATATGAATTATTTTCATTATCAAATCTTCGTTGAATTAGTATTATCAAACAGTAATAGAAAAGAGTATTAATATATAATAACTTCATGAATCTGGCTGATATTTTTGAGTAGAAGTAGAAAAAATATACTTTTGATAAGTTTAGATTTTGATGCAATGTGTATGTATACATGCAATAATAATCTATATATTTATTAATGATAACAAATATGACATGCAAGTTATATTTTTTCATTCTGTTAGCCTCTATAATCAAATTGTACTGATTTGTATCAATTTAGACTTATTATTTATATCTATTGCATTGCAGATAGTAAGAAATTGTAGGAAAAGTTAATAAAATAATGTTTTTCTAAGAATATTTATTAATTATTAATATTCTAATAATATTTGAATACTGCAGTAGTGTTGAGGAATGGATATATATATATATAATTATTTAACTTTTTTTTTAATATATGCATATATGTTACATGATATTGTACAAGTAATATATAATAGCAATTCAGAATTATCTTTCATATTTTTGAAGCAAATTATTAAGATTGTAAATATAATCACAATAGGAACAGCAAATTGTAAGGTAATTAGAGATCGTATATACTCCTAAGCTTTGCGATTTTTTTCTAATTTTTTGCTGAGCTGAAAATTGAGAATTAATGAAGGGAATCAAATTAAAAAAGGGAACATTTCTGTAAATGTTAAAAAAATATTTTCAAATATTTATATAAGTACAATAAAGATTTAAAAAAAGCAGCATTTCGCGCATATTGAGAACATGTGTACTCAATATGATCCATGTATATGTTTTCTCCTTTTCATACGAAAATATTAGAAACATGGAAAGTAAAGATTCGCGACGTTATTTTTATAAGTTTATAAGTTTATTGCACACAAACATACTAATAAATAAAAATTTAAAAAATTTTTTTTTATACATTTACAAGATACTTGATCTGACATTTTACATATGAACATATCATATTTTAATCTTTTTCTCTTAATATTAAATAAAGGTTGTAAAGATTATAAATATCTTTATACTGATATAAAAGAAAGCTATTTTTGTCAGCGTATTTATAAAACAATAATAACTTAATCAAACATTGTTGAACATGTTAATTTCTGCTTTCTAAAACTCTGTTTGCTATGAATGCTCACAATTCATGAACATGTGTAACATATGTTATAAATATCATATTTATGCATGACTCTCACTATATCTTCCTGAGATATATTTCACAGAGCCTGTATTCTGTACACGACTATCGACAATTGTCGGTGTCAATAATTAACAATCAATAACAAGAACGATTCTGAAAAAAAAAACGCGGTTCTTCTTGATCGTCGTTACTTAATGATACTGACAACTGTCGGTAGACGTGTACATACAGTAGCCCAGAACCACAATTCTTTCAAGACTCCTGTTTTTTTTTGTCGTTTTCTTGATTACTTTCTTGATTGCTTTAGATGAAGTACTTAAAGCAGCTGCTTCTTTTAGAGAGGAAAATAATTCTTTCTATATTGATTTCACTAGGTAAAGAGTTCCTTTTGTTTAATTATAAACGAAATGTGATAAAAATATAATTTAAATAACATATTATTGAAAGTTGAAATACAGAGCTATACTAACATAAAATACTACTGAAAGTAACAATTACATTTGATTAATTATAGAAAACAATTGTTTATGTTTAAATAACAAAATGAATAATATGATTTATAAATTGATACAGTCATATGGATCACCTGCATAAGTTATTACTGCTATCTGTTGAATTAATCCTATAATTATCTACAAAGAGTGAATAGAGCGTTTTGAGTATACGCCCAGATTGAATCCGATTATTTTTATCTTTATGACGTAAAAAAGTATTTTAAGAAAATATTAATCTAATTGAATAATTACATACCTGCAAATTAGTATAAAATTAATATAAAATTTATGTATAGCGTAATTTATGTATTTCTTTCTAATTTGTTTAGAAAAATGTTAAGTAATAAGACGCGTAGCATATTTTATTGTCATATTCTTATCAAAGTGGGAAAATGCGATTTTTTTCCCAGTCAAAGTACAACATTTCTGTATAATTCAAACTATTATATATCAAACATTATCGATACATCAGCATCATGTAACATATCGTCAAACTGACGTAATGAATGTTAATTAATTTTTTTGAAGTTTAATTATAATCATAATTAACATTATATTTATTTTATAAAACTAGATAGTGCAATACTGTAATAAGTATAAATTTTAGGGGATAGAGTTTCAAGTGGATTTTGAGGGTCGCAATCCACAAGATCCAGATTATCATGGAATTAAAACATTACTGCAACAACTTTTCCTTAAAGCACACATTGATTTGGGTGGATTGACGGATTTAATAATTTCTCAAAATTATGTAGGATCAGTCGTTAAACAATCTGAAGAAATTGATGAATCTGATGATGATGAGGATAGTAATGATATCAATGATGTATTTGGTATTACAACTGTCATTAATGTTTCTGATAAACAGGTAAGTAAAAAATTGGTAACGATATTCAAATTAACGATAATAAATTATAATCATTATCAAACTGAGAAATTTATGATTAATATTTATCTATCAATTTTATTTATTAAAAAAGTTAATTTTTTTCAGAACATTTTATGTATACAACAATTGAGAAATCTACTGAAACAGCTAGCAGATGAACACGCAACTGATGCAGTTAATACTATGATAAAAAATGTACTGGAGAACGACGCAGCGCAATTGGGTTTGCTCATTAATGAAAGATTTGTTAACATTCCCGCCAAGATTTCAGTACCACTTCTCGAAAATCTAATTTCCGAATTGAAACGTGCCAATAACAGAAATATGCCATTCAATTTTTCCTATTACATACTTATATGTAAATTGTACAAGTCAGAAGATAAACGAGCCGGGAAAAAGGCGAAAAGTAAGAATAGGAACGGTACTGAACCATCAATATTGTGGAGTAACCCAGAAGAGGAGATCTTTGCGGAAGAAGCAATTGTTAGTTTCGAATTTTCTGTCGAAGAAGAAGCGGACAGTGGTTTATCCGGAACGTGGACTGAAACAGACGACGAGATGATACCTTATAGACGAGTACTACTTTTTGAAGCTTCAAAATTGCAATCAATATTTGATAAAATACAGAATCAGTTTTCTTAATTAATTTCATAAAAATATATTGTGCTAACATTTTCTTAAACGAACGATATGGCTAACAAGAGAAGTTCGACAAGTGTAAAATAAAAAAATCTCTCTTCACATAAGTTTAGAATAGATAGACCTAATAACAATTTTTTTTTATACTTAGATTTGTATATTCAAGAAATGCCGTGTTACGTGTGAAAGCGACGGACTCAACAGATCGCGAGTTCAAATCCCGCATCCCGTATATACAGAAAAATTTCGTAATCCGTACTGACTCAGTAGGAATCGTAGAGGAACTCTTTAAATCTAGGTCTCTTTGAGACATATAAGGATTGATATGATTCTATCCATATCCTCCAATACTATTACTTGGTATATTACTATCTATTTTAAACTTATATAAAGTTTGTTTTTTATTTTACATTTATCGAACTTGTGAGTTCTTTGCAAAATTTTCTATTTATGAATGGAAAATATATTTCTCATAGATAGTTTTTTTATATATCTACATGTATAACGTACAATATAACGGTACATTACATTAAACTTATAATATAACTTTTACATAATGCTTATATTACAAACTATTTCTAAGAATTTCGCATATGGTTCCTTTTCATTCTTTTTATTTTTATTTCTCTTAACATACTTACAAAATATTTGCAAAATGGCCATCGATTTGGACTCGTCTGACTTAAGATTTCATAGTATAAAAATTACTTTTACAGTCGAATAAATAGATTTTGTGTAAATTTAGGTTGAGCAAAGCAGATCTATAAGAGAAAATGTACACATAATATAACAGATCGCGTACTGTCAAATAATATTGTATAACTTAATCAATTGTTTATATAAAATTTGTCAAGTTTTTGTTGGAATTACAATGTATTCATAAGTATCAAACAATTCTCATTACTATGACGCTGTGTCTGCAAACTTTAATGATTGTCTGATTGGCTTGGCTCTTCGTCTCATAGTACCGAGAATATTTAACATTTCAGAAACTGCTGGCGGCTTACTTTCTGCTTCTTGTCGTCTTTTCCTCTCTTCTTCTCTTTGTTTCTGAAATCAATGTCTTACTCAAATATGCATGTTAAAATCGGGCAAAAGAAATGTTGCATTTCGTTTAAAAACAAATATCATTCAAAAACAAAAGACATACAGATTTAAAGAATGTTTGAGAAGTTAATGGTACTTTAAACAGCTTTATAATGTATTCTAAATATTTATATAATTTAACTTACATCTGTCTGTTTTAACGTGAAACGTCCGCCTTTAATTTGATTAATAATATCGTCGATAGCTGAAAATCACATACATATGGTACTGCATTGTATAACTTTTATACATTTACAATAAAACAAAACAATTCATGATGACAAAATGACATAAGATTGTGTATAATTACCAGGTTGTTGCACAACTGTAGGTGTTTTTTTCGGCGTAATACCAAGCATATTTTCCATATCGCTTACAGCTGAAGTCAATTTTTCTTTAGTCAATAATTTTATTGATGACTGACTAATTGTCGACATCGGTGGTGGTGGAGGAGGTGGCGGTGGCGGTGGCGGTTTTGAAACTTTCTCCTCTAACTCTCTGATTTTCTGTTTTAAGCAATGTACAATGTTTTCCAATTCTTCCATCGATTTCTCCGCCCTTTCGGCTCTCTGAACAACTACTTCTAACTCTGATTCCGCGAGCTTTAATTTTTCTTCGACAATTTCAAATTCTACATTCGATTCTTTCTCCTCTAATTTCTCCTGTAACATCTGTATTTGAGAAGCATGATTTTGCTGTTCTTCTTCTAGTAGCCTCTTTAGGGATTCCACTTCTTGCAAAACGGTTAACAATCTCCCATTTGGATCGTCTCCGACTCCGGCCATAAGAAGAGCGCTTTGATGCGCTAAGATGTTTCGTTCTTTCTGGACCTAAACAAATAACCAATTATAATCAGCGCAATATATGAAAATGACTTCCATTTTTAATGTTCTTTAATTCCCCAGATTTTATTTTCTTTTCGCATATCGTTTAAAAAGTAAAAAAATTCGATTTCTTATTTTAAGATAATCTAAATAGTATGAACAATTATTAATACTGTCCGATACAGATTTTATATCAAGAAATCATCTATGAATTCATTTTCAGTGACAAAAATCTGTAGATCTTACTTGTAGTGTATAAAAAAAAGTTTAAAGGAGGATATCTAAAAATGGCCAATTATTGAGGGAGTCTAAAAATGGCCAAAATTGATCGTGAAAGGATACTTTTAAAATTTGTGTAGTTATATCAGCTTGAAAATACATACATTCATAAAAGAAAGCTTTTTACCAGAAAAGCTTAAAAAACCTAAAAATAATAAAGTAGGTTGTTTGAATGCTTCGCAAAAAGTTCATTTTGTTTCTAATGAACAACAGATTTTGAATCTGTGATTAAAAACGAAGGATGTGTTTATATTGAACACATGTTGGACCATTAAATATTATACGTTAAATATATTAAGACATCAGAGAGATCCACAAACATTTGTGTATCTCCCTGGTAATGTATTTTTACAGTATTTAATGGTCCGACATGTGTTAAATGTAAACACACCATTTCGAAATCTATATTCATTAATAATAAAATAAATTCTTTTTCAAATAATCTACTTTATTATTTTGAAAAGGTTTCCCAAACTTTCTTGGGTAAATAAGCCTTTTTTTCATGAATGTATGAACTTTCAAGATGATAACTGCATAGATTTTAAAGTGTCCATTCACAGCCAAAGTTGACCATTTTTAGATTTTTCCTTTGTCGAACAGTATAATTATATATTTATAATTATATATTTTGTGTATGTGTGTGTGTGTGTGTGTGTGTGTGTGTAAAATAATAATGAAATTAAATTGACGATTGTAATGACGCACCCTTTCAGCTTCCAGTTGCAGCATTTTCGCGCTTTCTCTTTCGCGATCACATTGCGTCTTTAAGGTCTGCACTTCCTCGGCTACCATTTTTGTAATTCTTTCCATGTTTTCCTTATGCACTTTCATTTCGTTAATTTTTTCCTCGCCTGCAACAAAAACGAATCGATAGGTTTATTGTGTTTTGCATCACGATATCACGATATTATGAGAGATTTCATTTTACTTTTTTGTCGGAGGACTCTTTCCTCTTCCAGCTGCGTAGTTAGCTGCGTTACCTGCTCCTGCGCTTCGAACTCTTGAAGTCGCGCGGAATGAAGTTCCGTTTGTAATCGTGCTATTTCACCGCTCAGCTCTGGAAACGAATGTTTCATTTAAGACTAATTTGTTAACTTTATTTAAACTCGATTGTTAATGCAATCTTGAGAGCAAATATAAGTAACATTCGCGAAAACCGAATAAAATTAGCACTGACCTTTCACCGTTTGCCTCAAATGATCCAAATCCTCGAAGTTTGAGTCCACTTCATCGGATATGTCGAGATGCAACGACTCATCTGGATTGTTATGTAGAAACTTCTGCGCCATAATTTGAGATCTCCGCTTCAGTTCGCGATTTTGTCGGTACCACTAATATAACAAAATTGTGTATTATTTTACAACAATTACGTATCACATATACAACAATTCTCATTCGTTATTGGTTAAGATTACAAATCACTTAATATATTTTCTATGTATCACCACACAGATCACAAATGAGATACGCAAATTAAATTATCATGAATATATTGTTACCTGAGAGGCTTGTTGCATAGCTTTATGCATTGCGTTCGTTTCCACGTCATATTGATGTTTTAATTGTTCGTATTCTTTACATACTGCTTCAGAAACTATGAGAAAAGAATAAGAATTTAATAATTTTAGAGAAGATTCGGCTATATATATTATAAGATGAAACTTCAATAAGACTTGAAAAAATCTGAAAGACTTAAAATTTGCAGATAATTTCTTTTTTACCTATTGAAAATTAGGAATTTTCATGAAGTTTTGTCAGATTTTATCAGGAAAATTTTGGAATTTTCCTTTTTTTAAGGTCTGTCTTTTTCTGAAAACATTATTTTTTTTCTTGATAATGTTGATCAGTTAGCATAACATCCGCATATATTCACGTATATTCTCATATGTCTCATGAGTTTTATTTAAAAAATCAAGATGACACACGAAATTAAGTAAGAAACAGTACTCAGCACAACAGAGTAGCTAACTGTTATTATAATCATAACTTCGTCGTATTATATTCTGGAATGTGATGCACAATAATATTTTAGCAATTAATAAAACTGGATTATTAAAATATTACATAAAGTTGCAGCAATATTTTATTCTTATATCCGTAAAAATAAAATATTGCTATAACATAATGCATATAATATTTTAATAATTATTCTAGTTTTATTAATTGCTAACATATTGTTTAGCATCATATTCCAAAATACATATGATAAAGTTATAATAAAAAAATATTCGGAGATCTAGAAAGCACATCCAAGGCTATATTCAGATTCCCCGAATACATCCAGGTATCATTTCATCCTTGTTTATTTACCAAATATTAAACAAGAATGACATGACCCCGGGAGAACACCCCGGATGGGAATCCGAACATGTCTTAAAAAAAGATTAGGAATCTCCAGGAAATTTGCTAACTCGATTTGCATACTCCTTACAGGATTCTTGGACGTTTTCCTTACGAGAAACGTATCCCTCTCATGGCAAGGCCGCGTACTTATTTATTGAATTGTAATATTGCAGTAATATATTGCAATATTTTCTACAAAATATTATAATTACAATATTTTGCAATATTGTTGCAATATTGTTGCAATATTTCGTGCTGTAAAAGTTACGCACCTGTCCGTAATTTTAGCAGCTTCTGTTCCTTCTCTTGAACTTGCGATTGCAGCACGTTATTTTCTTTCTGCAATTGTTGGTATTTTTTTTCCAAATCTACGTGGTCTTTATTTGCTGTAAAAAGTGTTCGAGATTATAATGCAGAATGCAATATTGTATCGTAAAATATTATAATTTCTTTTTTCATGGAATGGCACGGATGTGCGTGGGCTAGATGAGTCAGTTATCATCGCGATTAAGTCAATAATCAGATTAAGGTCATATAATCCTTAGAACTATTGAGAAACGATTGATGATGTCATCGTTCTGAAAAAAGTTGAACAAAATACATATTCCAGCGATAGAATGTTTATCAAACGTGATAATATAATAGTCTTTCAGTTAAAATAAACAATTCAAAAAGCAAAAAATTATATTATGTATATGTATACATGCATGTAGAAAATTACTCTAACGTTTCGCGCAAAATTCTGGTGAACATATTGTTCTCCCATCATTTCATTTTTTTTTTCTTTTTGATGTTATATTCCAAATATTATCTTTAAATTTCTTGCTGAAATTCTGACACGTCATGTTATATGTATTATGTATGAATCGCTTACAAAGCGTTTGTGATTAATTAATTATAAATCGTATTCGAACGACTTTGAGAAAGTTGTTCAAAATATCTCACTTCCTGATCTTTTTACGTAAATTCGATCGATCAACCTGGCTAATTAATCAATGCAACATACCGTTTTAAGAATATAGAAATTAATAATATTTTGCCTCGTCGATTTATAATTCTATCGCGTATAAACAGTGTGACTAATACAGCGTCATTGCCTTCATTTTATATGCAGAAGTGAATCATGACATGATAATCGAGTACACGACATTCTCAGTCGATCCATGAACACGCTTTCCATTATTTATAAACTTTTGTTAATAAAAGTCTAACAAAAAAATCAACGCCGAATAATTTGATAAGCTTATGTTCGTATCGTATCGAAGGAACTTTCAAAAATAAGAATGATCTTGTTTCTGATATATTCAAGTATAAATATGTATACGAATTATTTTATAAATACTCGTTTAAGTTTACGCTTTTCTTATTTTATGAAGTATAAGGATGCTTTATTGTTTCATCATGAAATCGGATGATGAATATCATTGAATCGAAATATCAATCCAATAATGTAAACCTCGCACTTCATATATTTATATATACACGTGTATGTGTGTGTGTGTGTGTGTGTGTGTGTGTGTGTGTGTAATTAAGCACATGTCTACTTATTAACACAGATTCAAGATTCAGATTCTAGTAGCTATTATTTAGTACAACCACATGACATCAGTTTTATGTTTGATATCGCAACATTCGACGCTTTTAATTAATAATTACCAGCTTCGCTCTTCTGCAACAGGTGTTTCCGCCTCTTTTCCGAATCCTCATATTTGCTCTTCCACTTGCTTTCCAAAAAGCTGTTGCTTCTATTGAGTCTGGCGACGTCGTTCGTCTTACAAACGTTCACCGGCGTCGTCTTTTCCTCGGATTTTCGCATCTCGATGCTGGAGGTCGACAATTGATTGTTATTGCGTGACCTCAGCTGTGCGACTGAAGCTTCGAGCTTCTCGAAGGATGCTCTTTGGGCTGCCACATTGCCTGTCCCGCGGCCGAGCTTCTCGAAGGATCCTCTGCGCTTTGGAGGACATCTCTCTTGAGCCTTGATCGTGGCCGATATTCTCGGCACCGGAATGTGAGAGTGAATCACGTTCGGAGACGTCCTCGATGGCTCCGTGCTCAGGACAATGTTGAATTCGGTCTTATTCATGGTGCCTGTGGAAATGAGTGCACTTGTTATCTCGTTTATTTTAAGTTTTGTTGTAGCGATCACAATGAAATATGATAGAATTCCAAAATTGACTATTTTCTGATTAGAGTATTAAGTCCACGTGTCTTTCTAAAAATTCAACTTTAAGTCTGTTCGTGTTGCCTGAAATTCCTAAAAAATATTTATTACACTTAAAACGAGATAAATAGATATATAATCGGGCATTGAAAAGAGAGAAAGTAGAGATTCTAAGGGCAAAAAGTACAAACAAAAGTACGAACAGACATATCATTTATGTAAAAAATTTACTTTCTAATAAAATACGTGCGAGAATATTTTGTAATTAGTAAAAAAGTTTTTCATTATTATCATTATTATTATTAAAATAATCATTGAAAAAAAAAGGATTAATTTAGCGCCTTCTTATTTAAAAAACAAAAAGATTGAGCTTCTCACAAAAAGAAATTATTTTTCAATTTGATAGAAAATTATTGACTAATGAAATAATATCGTAAATAATAAAAATAATATGCTCTTATGATCAAATGTCATTTTTCTCATTTTTATTTCACAATCATTCTTTGAAAAAACCATCCTTTTTAAATTGTGATGACTTTAAAGATCATTTTTTTAATAATTTTGTATAGGATAATGTTTACCTGATCCATTCATGATAATAACTTAAACATTACGTTTTTTATATTATTTTTTAATTGTCACTTTTTAAGTAAAGGATCGATATATTATTGAAATTGTATTTTGTTCTATATTATTTTACAAAAAATGGTTTTTTTATGCTATTAAACACGAACACTGGTGGATCAATAAGGAGGACACGATCTACCTTTGGAGTATCTTTTTTAAAAAATATTTATAGCAATGTTATATATATTTTTAATATTTCTAAAATCATAATTTTGATATTATGAAAGTATTTTTTAGTGTGTTTAAGGGACTTCTATATAGATATAAAAAAACAAATTTCATTATATATATTTTTTTATTAATACAATTTAAACTAAAACGTTTTATGAATTATACATTTAAATAATACTTTTTTTTAATGTAATAATTTAAATAATAGTTTAATATTCCATCTTTTCATATTTGACTTATTGTTAAACACAATTTTGCTTGCGGCGCGTCCCTCTTCAGAAATTTCTGAATCCGCCAATGAATTATTGATTCCGATAAATATATCGATATGCCTTCGTTGATATTTGAGAATATATTTTTTTGACAAGTGTCTTGGACGAAGAAACAAAATTCTTAAAACGTATATGCATCTTGTGTATATACTTAATTCTTCACTATCATCATTGATTCATTGCATAATCGACATTCACAGAAAAATAACGCGCCACGATTAAATTTTCACGTATCGCTTTCTTATTTCAAAAATGAATATAACTCAAAAAATTAAGTTTGCCAAAAAAAAAATAAAAAAGCTATTTTTAAATTTGACAGAAAATTACTGGCTAAACAAATATATATAATATCAAAATGAATATATTTTTAACATTGATCAAATATCATGATCAATAATAAATTTGTTATTTGCAATTCATAATCCCTAAAACCCACTGTTTTTAAACTTGTAACAATTCCGACAATTTTTTAAAATCATTCTTTTTATGCTTTGATGTTTTAAGGATTTTTTTATAAAGTTAAGTTAATTCACTTTCGATGAATTGTGTATGTAATACTTACTTAATTCATTCATAGTCATAATTTAAAAATTGTTTTTGAGTTATGTTATTTTTGAAGTAAAAGATCAATATGCGACTACTCAAGGAATGAACTTATCCAAATGCATATCATCACCGGTTAAGATTAATAACATTGGACATTTCTAGAAATAAACATATTATTCTCACTTTCGACAATCAAGTTGAAATAACTGCTATGTCAAAATATTCTTATATGCCCAATTTTTATTGTACGGACCGTATTTTATCACCTTATCTTATTTACCTATTGTTATCTCATATATTAGATTTATATCGATGAATTAATTTAACATTAAATAATTCGTAAAGAGAGAAAATTTCGAGAATATCCATATTTTATTAACTATTATTTATAATTTAACAACATAAAAATTATCGAATTGATAGTATTGTACAATATTACGTAATTAATTCATAAAAAATTATCAGATTTTAAATAAAGATTATTGCGATTATTAAGTATTATTGTGTTCAATATCTCATGTATTGTTTTATGATATCACGGCTATTAACGGAAAGAGATCTTGAATACTCTCGATAAGACCTGTCGTATACACATACGTTCATTCACGCCGCAAAACACGAGTTCCCGGAACAGAGGTTAGCGTTTCTAAAATAGGATTCCACCAAAAGTATACCCAAGAGTTAGGTTTAGATGCACGTGCTGAGCTTCGCGGGAGTAAAGCAAATAGCTCTCCTGCGAGCCATTTAAAGTTAATTCGTCGGAATGCGTGTCTGTGTCGAGACTCGTGCGGCTCGATCGTTAAACCGACATAGGCTCGAACGGTTTCGGTTGTTTCCCTAAATTAGAAGTCCGCCAGGTGTTACGATAATTATCATTCTAACTTCCGCCAACGTCAACGTTCCCGTGCAAAATTTCGAAAGGCTCGCAAAAATTCGCTCGGGCGAAAAACGAGACGGGATACTTCAGCGGAATACACAATTCGACATTCGAGACGTCAATTAATTCTTTCATTTGCATTCGAGTGCATGCCTAAAGTAGGAAAGACGATCCAATGTTGAAATCGATAAACTGAAACGTATTTTCAAAGAGCATTCAAAGCAGTCCGTTTTATATATAAGCAAAAACATAGAATATTCAGTACTCGATAAAATAATAGTCAAATAAGAGATTTATTGAACTCTTGCAGAAATCCCGTTTAATACCTCAATTTAATATTAAAAATTACTTCTCATACAAAATTGACTAAATTGCAGCAACATTGCAACGTTCCAGCAATATTGTAAACGTTGCTGCAATGTTGCTATAAGCTTCTGTGCTGCATAAGTTATTTAATTAGTTATTTTGTATAAGTTAATTATTAATTATTTATTTTGAGTATTAAAAGCACCCTTACATAAAGTTGCACAAAAGTTGCAGCAATATTGCAGATTTCGCAGAGACATTGCCGTAAATTTTGTGCTGTGTAGGCACTGTTATTCAATGCTTTTAATACTCAAAATTAGTAATTAATCTATATATTCCAGTTTTTAAATATTTATAAAGAAAAAATGCGCCGAATTAAATGCAACTACAGAATTAAATGCAACTACAGAATTAAATTTTCATTCGTTATTTAATTACAACTTAATCATTTTTCCAGTATTAAAAATCATTTTACTTAAATCAGGAAAGATTTAATTTAATTTGGAACAGAACGATTATACCTATACACTTCATACTTATCGAACGATTAACACTTGCAATCGTTTTTTTTTTTACCTCGCATTCACTACAGTATAACTAATGTCATTGATCGTTGCATCGCACGTTAATTTTATATATATATACATTTCTATATACATATCCACGGTATACATAAATACTGGCATGCGGGTATTCGACATCATACATCAACGAATGTCCGATAAAATCCGGTTGATAGTGCAGTAAGTTTACGTGTTCAAAATTAAGTATTCAATATTAAAAAAATATAGAAGATAATCTAAAATGTAGCTCTACGAATCATAATTGAAATGACAAGTCAAGAATCTTTGACACACGTCACGTTTAAAGGGAATTAGCAAAGGAACATGCAATAGTTCTATCATAAATTTATTTAGATATTATAGATTTGAATATTATTGAATGATAATTTTAATGTAAAAATATATATTATTTTTGTAACATTTTGTAACAGAATACATTTATTTCATTTAATATCTCTTGTTCGTTGTCAATTTAATCAATTTTCTTTTTCTGCTTAAGAAAAATTTCGATTTACTTTTCTGTAAAATTAAGAGGGTCTACCTCTTTATTGTAATAAAACGAATATCGAATGTCGCAAAGTATTTTTGCAGTAATAAAATTCCGCAAACGCGCACGCGATATTCATGCATGCTAATTAAATGCAAAGTGTGCAATTTTCGTTTTCTTTTTTATACCAATCACAATATAAAGTCTGCAGTTGAACTTCTGGCACGATTCATTTCTCCTCTTTTTCTGTCCACATTGGGGAAAAAGAAAAAAATGAACGATGCAAGTAGTTTAGCTACAAAGTCTTATAAAAAAAGGCCTCTACTGCAACGACTACCAACTTGCACGTGCAATTGCGGAATAATTTAAAACAAAGACTAATTATATATGATTTTAATTGTCAATTACGTCGTGTATGCGACGTAATGGACTTTGGAGTTGTACGTCAGGTTATGTGTTCGATAAGCACCGAGGTCCTTTCACTTTACCTGTTTTGCATCAAAAAACGATGTACAACCCGTCGTATTTGTTATATGCAAAACACTTAGAACTCATTCAAAAAAACACAGAATTCGGATTCGTATTCATGCGACTCACTCATTCATCTCACAAATCATGCCGTTGCAGACGAATAATCAATAATCGCAAATGATCACTCTTCTCGAAATCACGCGGTTCCTCCGAATTGGATTCCTCGCGAAGATGATCGACATGAAAATCGCACGACCGAGACGGTGAGATAAATTTTTTTTCTTACGAGCGACAGATGGTTTGCACTCACTTTGTTCGTTGCACCACGTGAGGTCGAAAGTGTCAGTTTCTTTCTTTCTTCCCTCGCTCTCGCGATGAATTCAGCACTTTAAGTACCGCTCGGTTGGACTCGGGTTGTGGCCAGAAACTCGTGCGTACGTCCTCTCCGACGCACGTCCACGAGCGTACTAACTTCGTGCGGGAAGGCCGAGAGCGCGTGCCTCGTTGTAACGTTACATTATCTCGTGGCACCGCAGAGAACTATACGCGAAAGAGAATGCGGGAGAGCGCCGTTTTCTTTAAGGAAAACCGATCGAGTGCACACTCACTCGCATCTTCCAGCGTGCTACGCGGTAGCCTTCGATGTAACATTGTTCGATGCTGAAGGTTTTATCGCAATTTGGATAACGGATTAGCATTAAGGATATCGAACCTCCTTGAAAAAAGTTACATCGCCTTGGAAGAGGGGAGGGAGGGGGGAATGGTGGTAAACTTCGGTTAAAATATTACTCGAAAGAAAGCATATATGTGTAAGACTGATAATGTGCGAAATGTAATGACGTAGGGAATAGAAAAAACGATTTAAAAAATTAGCTAGATACAAATCTGAGAATAATTATTTTGTAAATTATCAGGACGCTTGAACGTTGATATAACAATGCTGTAAAAAATTTTAACATTCTAACAATTGTTAAGTCTTTTATAATTATTTTGATAGACGATTTTTATTCATATCTCTCGGATAGAATTACTTATGATTTTATTTTACTTATGATTTTATATACAATTTAATATTTTTTATAATTTACAATATATTTTACATATTTTACATATAGAAAAAAAGATTTTAAATATTTAAAATTTTGCCTGATACAAATTTGAAAATGATTTCGTTGAATCATATAGTTGAATCAAATAATTATGTTGTAAATTAAAAAATAAGCAATGCTACAAAAACATTATTCTAATAACTTGAATTTCTAATAAAATAATTTTGATGAATTCAAATAAAATTATTTTCAGATTTATGTATTAGGTGTTGGAATTAATTCGTAGCGTTTTACAAGTGATGGGAAGTACTTTCATTAATGTATTTTTTAATGCTCATGTGAAATAAATAACATTCTTTCATTAAAAAACGCACCTAATATCTAAACATTTTTAGATACTTTTAAAGCATCATTCCGTGTATATCTCATATTTTTTAAATAATTTTTTATATCTCGCTCTTTAGGAATTTAGAACTTCTTTAAGAATCTTCTTTTATATCTTCCAAGAATTTGAACAAATAAACATATGGTGTATTTCTCTTTTTGAAGAATCCTATCTGACGATGAGTTGAAGAATATTGTCAGCAATAACATTTTTCATCAATTTTTGGAATTGATGTTGATGATTGATTAAAAAGAACTTTAATTCTCTTTATATTTTAACATAAATAAAAAAATACAAAATTCAATTATTTCAAGTTGCTTTCGATCAGCATATTTGATACTACGCATGAGAGAGGAATTTACGCAGTTAGTCAGCAGCTGAGTATACAAAAGGCGATTTGTATAGAGTTACGAATAATGAGTAAAGACTCATTATATATTTATCGTTAATAGTAAGTAGGATTTTATGGATTATAAATCGAGATCTGTATCTATAAGCTATTGAAAATAGAATAAAATTAACTTAAAATATTAATCAATATATAATAATTTAAAAATATAATAATAATTATAAATATAATAGTAATTTAAATATATAGTAATTTAAAAAATCAATAAATATATAGTGATGCTTACAAGAGTCAACATTAGATATTGATATATATTTAATTTATTCCAATATAACAGTCAATAATATAATATTACGTTTCGATTCTCATAGGGGGGTATGTAGATAATATTATTATTGACTATTACATTGAAATAAATCAAACATATTAATATTTGCTGTCGGCTTTTATAGGCATTATTTATTGATTTATTTTGTCACAGTCTTTAATTTCTTAATTTGTATTTAATTTAAAAAATTAATAAGATATTCGCATAAAGTCGATAAGTTCTCAAGAAAAGCATTAATTATAAAATGAAGGATTAAAATCCTAATACGATAAAATTAATTATAAAACTGTTTTAAAATAATCTGTTAATGTCAAAACATTAAGCTTATATATCAAATAAAAAAAAACAATTTTGATCAATTTTATTATTATTTTCTCACATTCAATCTAAAAAAATTTCTGCGATACTTTATTTGATAATAATGCTATAAAAAGTTTTAATAACCAGTTTGAACATCCTGCATATTTATTATCTTGATGATTCAACAAAATTTTTAGATATACATATGGCTATATAAATTTTTAAATACTTCTGAAAAATGATTCTTTTCATTGATAATGCTTTCGATGCTTTCACGGGTATTTTCTTCAAAAATATGTTCTATTCATTATTATTGCAATTCTATTCTGGAAATATTCTCCATCATATATGATTCAATTTTTCTGCAAAAAATTTTTTAAACTTGACAAGATTTTTTTATTTCGGCGAATGATTTAGCTGCGATAAAAATACAGGTGCGTAATATATGTTACATAATATATGTTACAGATACACTTCAAGAATTCTGTACAAGATAACGGCGGAGACATAGCGGCTATACGATTACATTGATAGCAGTTTTTTTTCGTAGCAGCTGCATATGCACATAGAATCGTGCGAAACTTTGTAAGCTAATATATCTCGTATAAGTGCTTGATGAGTCACTATCTTCTGAATAATCACTTGATAATTCTTTATCTGCATAAGTCACCACACATTGTTGTCATAGTTTTGTAAGAATATATCACAAGAAGATTGGAAGGAATTGAACTATATAATAATATCAAAAGACAAATATAAACGAAAGGCCCTTATTGTAAGATATCGGGTTCATTTTGGATAAATGTTAGAAATCTGTGAACAGATTTTAAAAATAATAGATCATTTTAAAGGGAAGTTAATAAGCTTTAAGATAATGCCATGTAAAATTTAATTTAAATTCTATTTTTTTTAATTTAAAAAAAATGTAAAAAGTGAATAAATCGCAAAGTTAAAAAATTGTGCTCCTAATATGAGATGCTCTGAAAAATAGATAATAAAATGCAAAGTACATCAGTGTGTATTGCAATTAAAAAACTTTATTTAATATTTCTAAAATATAAACAAATACAGTCAATGCCCGCATAAAATAAGCATGCGTTATACATAAGATTCAGATAGTTGGAACCAAGTATCGCAGAAACAGGCACTCGACGTTCATTCCAATTGTCCTTTTTATTATAGCAACTATTTTCACTATGACATAGGTTATTTCATATTAGAAATACTCTGGGTATCTCATATTATAATTTTCACGTCTTACGGTTTTACAATCGAATCTAACTTGTAATTAAGCAATTCAATATGTCCCATATTTTTCTAATAGTACAATCTTACTCTATTACTACATGAAGAATTTATTGCTAAATATTTCCTTAATAAATAATAAACAAGGTTTTAAAGACTCATCTCAATGAAACTTGAAGACATCCAAATTCTAAAATTTTTTTTACAACGTAAAAATATACAGGAAGTTCCGAATTTAAATGGCCAAACTTTAAGAGCGTGTACGACATCGATAAACTGAGAAAAAAAATCCTTTAGAGATATGCTCGTTTTTTATTTGTTTTAAATAAAATCACAAAAAAGATAAAAATAGTTTCCATTTTTGTAAATACTTATTTATTACTTATTCATTCACAGTTATTTATTCACATTATCACTTGCTTAGTGCAGATATTGTTCAAAATATTGGCCTCTTGCAGTAATTGCATTTTGTATGGACAATTCGTGTTGCAGCCAGCCACACTGATCTGGTCAATATAATGACTCGCCGAGGCACTTTTCTGTCTGGAAATCAGCGCACATATCTTTTGAACCATTATAAGTCAGTCGTCAGAGATGAAAATGGCGGCAAAAAGGAAGAAATTATTTACAGGTATTTTATTGTTTTAATCGATAGTTTGAGATATAAAAAGATTAAATTTAAAAGTGCTACAACATTAAGGGGGACACTTAGAAGTAATTAAGCAATAAAGTTTTTTTTTGGTTTTTCAATTAAAACGTAAACAAAAAGAGATATCAAAAAAATGACAAGAGAGAACTTTTTTGTTGCTGCTGAAATTTCCTATAAAATGAGTTTTTAATGAGCTTTGTATATGAATAGAATCGGAGATATAGCGTTTGAAGATGAATGAAATTTCTTGAAAAAACGGCAAAAATAGATACTTTTTCAATTATTGTATTTACTTCTACGTCGTTTTGAGTGCACATTAAAGCACCTTCGTACACAAAATAACGATAGGAAAGATATGTTTATACATAGAAATCGATTAAATTCTGAAATACTCAATATATTTTATTATACTGTTAGGTAAAATATTTATTTTATAATTCAAAATATTTGCATTTCACTTTTATATTAAAATTAAATCAATGTTTACAACGATTTATTAATATGCACCAGTGTGCATTAGTGCTTCCAATCGAATTCGTCATTAGTTTATTGATTCCCTTCACGTCCTCGAAGTTTGGCCATTTAAATTCGGAACATCCTGTATATTAATCATATATTAATTAACACTTTAATTAGTACAGTATGTACATATTACATACTACATATGCATATTATATTAATATCTACATATATGAGAAAAATAATTTAATAATTCATTAATCATTAATCTTTTGTAATAATATCTTTATCTACTAAACTATTTATTTTTTGATAACTGTACTTTTATTCACAGAATAATGAAATGAATCAACTGATGTAAAGAAAACATAGTTGCTTTTCAAAAAAATTATGCAATTTTCAATACACATACTTGCAAATTATATTTTTTAAACTGCTATTTTCTTTATTATTTTATTATTCTATACATAAAAGCAAGGTACAATTATATAGTATAAAAGTTAATAATTCTCCAATCAGTATTGAGTATCAGTTACGTTATCTATAATATATTATATTTAGATTGAGTATGAAATTATAATATAGATGTAACCGGTGTTAACTGGGTAGATAAATATACTTTTCAGTTTAAGTAATCCAAAACAGCAAAATGTTACTACAGCAAAATCTATTCATTTTTGACAGTTTTGTCTAAAGAAATTTTCTATCTATATAATCTCATA